GGGGGGGGGGGGGTCGGGTTGTGCTCGCTGTTGTGGGTGGCGGTCGTCTTGTATTTGTCTTGGTTGGGATCATGAAACCACGCCACTGTTGTTGAGCCGGGGCGGAGCGTGTGGCTTTCTTTGCGGAACATGCTGGGGTTTAGAGAGGGAAAGAGAGGCTTTTGAGTGGGGATATGCGTTCTTTGTTTACCGAGAGTGAACATACACAAAAAGGCGCTGAACGGAGGCAACCGCAACGCTATTTAGTCCGCCGTTGTTAACGACAGAAGAGTGCGATCCGTCCCTTTGAGAATACGCTTGTGTCCCTCTTCTGCTGCCATACGCGATGTTCATCATTAGAGCGGTTTCTCATGAGAGATTTTTTTGTTTTCTGTCCTTAGTGCTGCGGCCGTACTCGCTTGCGCCCCCTTGGTGCCTGTGATGGGCTCAAAAGCAAAGGGTGTTGTCGCTTGGAAATATCAGAGATCGCCTTGCTGATGGCCCACAGGGAGGTCGCAAGCGTTCGTCGGTGTCACTCTTATGTGGCGATGTCGTGTGTCGAGGCAGGTGCAAGTGCTGCTGCCGCTCTTTTTTTCCTTCCCCAGTTCACCCACCCACCCACCCGTCTTTTTTGCCTCCCATGCCCGTCGCTGTCTCATTGTTTTCGTTGGCGTTCGCTGATGGCGACTGCAAACGCCACCTGTTGGTATACCTGGTGCTCTTTTACGCCAGGGGTTCACCCGATGGTGGCTTCGGCCACTTCTGCGGTGATGATCCTCTATACGAGCTTCACTGCCACGACGAGCTTCATGGTCTTCGGACTCTTAGAGGCGAGCGATCAAAATCACACATACGAGCAAGCAGGAAACCCTGTTTGTACTCACCCCCCCCCTATTCGATTGCGGGGCCGCTCTCCGCCCGAGTTCGAGTTGTTGTCATTCATACCAGTGTTTGTAACCGAGCTATGCGTACGCACGCGGCTGGTTTTCTTCATGCCCCTCAAGATTTTTTTTTTTGTGTGAAAGCCTGCCTCCCGCCGCCGACAGGGTATATATTTTTTTTGCTCAGGACTACCCTGTGAAGTAATATTTTTATACCTCGAAGTAGTCTTTTTTCTTCCCCTTGTCCTGCTCTGCGTGTGGGGAGCGATGGCATTGGAACGCGGCGATCTATCGAGTGCCCGACCTTGCACCCCGCCGGAGTGCGATACATAGTTTCATTAGCCATTCTTCAGACCATCTCTGCACCTCGGAGGCTGCATGGCGTTAAGCGCGTACTACATTATCTCTCTGGGCGATCGCCACAAGAACAAGACGAGAATAGAGTGCTGAGTGCTGTTTCGTCCACTTCCCAGATGAGGAAACCAAGAAGCACCTGGTGTGTCTTCGAAACTGTAGCTTGCGCTGTCAAATGGTTTCCAAAGGCGTGGCAGGGAATGCGTTTGTTTTTCGGGTGAAAACAAGGGTCTCGATAGGCTGGTTCTGACGGCGATCTCGACCCAGGCAACACGTCACGTATGCCCCCCCGCCCCCGCCCGTAACTCGGCTGCTTCCCGTGCCGTGCGGTCATCGTTGCTCTGTGTCGTTGGTTGGTTGCCCTAACGCTTTACCGGTGCCCTCATCGTCGTCATTATTGCTGTTGTCCGTTGGTTGATGGTTTGCAGGAAGACTACGCGATCGCGCTGTTTGTGGTGGGGCTAGCGGCTACGGCCGTCGGGCAGGTTGTCGTCAACCACCTCGTCAAGAAGGTAAGGTCGTGTTTGGGTCTGGTTGTTGTTGTTGTTGTTGTTGTTGTTGTTGTTGATGATGATGCGTGTGTCACGCCAGCTCTCTGGTGCTACTGGTTTGCATTGGTTCTGCATCCACTCCATCTGGCTGAAGGTCCCATCATCTTCCAGAACGCTACTACTACTACTGGCTGTTGTTTGTTGTTACGGATCTCGCCGGCGTATTGTGTGTATTTATGTGCAACTTGATGCGTCACGTATTTGCTTTGGGTCTCGTGGACGTGATCAATGTGGCGAGGATTTTGGCTCGCATTGTGTGCCTTCTAGCGTTCGAACCGCGCTTCACCCAGAGTCGTTGCAATACCTTTTCAGTCGACGATCCTTGTTTGATCATATCCTTCCTCCTAGTCGTCTACTACAGTAGCATGTCGCCTTCGTACCGTCCTCAAAACGTCAACCTCAGCGTTGACTACCACCCGTTGGTGCATGTAGGCAAGCAGGATCTCGTATGCTCAAAAAGGTGTACAGCAACTACCACTTTTAACGGATTGTAGAAGAGACCAAACAATGTGGTGTGTCATCCTCACGCGGGACCCCCCCCCATGGCATGCTGTACTGCTCGTCCACGATTTTTGTTTTTTTTCTTTACAAACGCGTCGGTTTTTTCTTGTCGTTGGCCCGCCTACCTACCCTTGCTCGCTCGCTCGCTCGCAGTACAAGCGGACAAGCTTTATCGTGCTGTCCATCGGGGCGGTTGTTGCCTTGAGCGCGGTTATGATGGGGGGACACAGCCTCTACAATTTCATGTTCCCGAATCCAGACGAGGAGGGAGGGGGGGGCTTCTGTTCGGTCGGGGAGTGAGGGGGGGGAGGAAGCAACACAGCAACACCAGCACCAGCACCAGCAGCAGGGGCGGGGGATCAGCGCAAACGATGATTTCTTGGGAGGATGGCTTTCGGCTGGCGCGGAGCAGCAGCGGAAAAGTACGGGGGCCTTGAGGGGGACGGGAGAATTCGCTCGTTCCGGAGGTGTGCTGCGGACCGTCGCGAGGAGATTGGAGAATCGTTACGGTTTTTCCCCGCGATGTGTACCTGTGCGTGTGGTGTGATTATGTTGGTCGCTTGTTTTGTGTCTCGACACACGGTCCGTGACGCTTGTCCACACAATTGTCGTGCGGGCCTGCTCTTTGACTAGTAATTGCGCCGCATAGGCACGGCACGGCGAAAGCAGTAGCAGCAAGAGAGAAAAGAGAGAAAGAAAACATGTGGGAGAGAGAAACCCCCCAACACCTTGTGGTTCACTTATTCTGCCGCCATATCATACATAGCTTAGGAGAATTTCGTCGCCGTAGGCGCTTGCAGTCCCGATGAACCAGTCGGACTCACTGAAATTAGTGCCTCGCTGCTGTTGACCCAGCCCGATCCGATTTGGCCGCGTTTTTCTTCCAAGACCGATCTCCGTACGTACATGCAGCGATGAATATTTTTTGAGAAGCGCACTCGGTTGCGAAAGGCCACAAGACAATGGAAACCCCGGCACCGCTAGCTGTGCGGTAATAGTGTGGCGCTTTTCAACAAGAACAGGGCATGAGAGGGCGGGGAGGGGGGGACCTTGGTTGCTGTTTCCCCGGGGCATGATTGTGGATTTATTATTCAAGGCGAGACTGCTGTCGTCGGCAGTGATGGTAGGTTCTCTCGGTCGTGTTTCGGGTGTGATGGTGATGGTGATGGTGATGGTGATGTGGTTGCTTTCGTTTTCCGTTGTCTCCGATCTACGCATACGACTACGACTAGGCCTACTGTTGTGTTGGATCTCCTTCGTTCAGGAAGGGCTTCCGGCCGAGAATAACAGGAGAGAGAGAGCGAGCGATGAACTGCTGTTGCGTTGTTTTTTGTTCATTGTGCTCTCTCGGTCTCCGTATCTCTCTCTGCCTTCGTGCATCCCTATTACCGTCACCTAGCTTGTTGTATTTATGTTTTTTTACCTCGCCTGTTGTATCGAGTATAGTTTTTTATGTGAGAAGAGATATTTACCCCATGGCGACTAGGGGAGTGCGGCGGGCCATGCAGGCTCCTCTCTCTCTCTCTCTCTCATCTCCTGCGGTACCTGGCCTTCCGAAACGTTCCGACTTTCACGTCAGTGTGTCCGATTTGTTTGGGTGGCGCGTATGTTGCTTGCTTCTCGTTGCTGTGATCACAGCAGCCTTGCACCCCACCTGTGGATGGCACGGCCGTGCGGAGGTCGATGGCACCTATCTATGCCTCTTTCGTTGACACGACCCACCACCACCGCCGATGAAGGGGGCATGTTATGTTCCTCCTACGACCTGTATCCCTTGAGAGAACTTTTTTTCGTCTTACCCACTCCCCCCGTAGGAGTGAGATTCAGCAAGCGTCTGATCGACGTCGATTTTTTTTTCAATCGGTTCTCACCCTCCGTTCCTCTCGCGTCACCCACCGACCAAACCTTCCTCAAAAACTCGATGCACGCACACGCCCCCAGAGGACAACGGGATATTGCAACGGGATACATACGACCACACCACGGTACGAGTCTGCAAATCCTATCTACAGGAGTGAACCAGAAAAAACAAAACGCTCTTCTTGTCCCCGTTCGCTCATCCACTCCACGGTTCACGCAGCAAGGAAAGGAGAGGGTGAGAAAAGAAACACAGCAGAGACATGCCACGTTTGGGGGACGTGAAAGAACGGTGTGCATAAAGAGCTGCGGAGAGCGCACGCAGCACGCCTGCACCGTACACGGAGTTACCGTCTGTCTCCGTCGACTTGCACGCGCCTCGCTAACCCCGTGTCGCTCGCGAGCAAGTAAACCTTGAACGATTCCCTAGCCCTGAGTTAGTGCTGTCTCTGGTCTACTTGCTTTTCGTCTGAGTTGTCTGAGTTGTCTGAGTCTCTTCTCTATATTGTACTTCGTACTCCATAGACCTGGGTACCTCCATCTCGTCACCATTACTTCAAACCCCACCTAAAAAAATACCCCAAGAATGCGGGCGAAAGGTGCCGTTGCCACCGCCAATTAAGATTTTTATAGCATCTGTCCGCTACCCGTCCTCTTCCGGTCTTCTCGCGGCACTCGTTAATCGGACGACCTCTGACTTCGACTCTAGCTACAGTATGTCTACCGAGTGTCGGGCTGAATCCTCTCCTCTCACATCGACTATTGTACCCCTTCCCCTCCTCCTAGGACGGCACCCTAACGGCGCTAGACTGTCGATACGAGTACCACCTAGGCCCGCCCTCGGCGACCCTCCTACCCCCGTGAACCGTAAGCTTTTCCGACAGCAGGAGTGACGGCACCCCTCCCTCCGCAGCGAAGCCGCTGAACACCGACGACGATGGTGGTGGTGCCTTGATGAACGGTAGCGAACCGAACGGGATCGGGCGAGGGGGCGTTGCGGGGGGGGGGGGGGGGGTACTCATAGTCGTGCATGCCGTAGTCGTTAGACCATTGACCTCGCATCCCTACAAAGCCGGGACGGAGCACGCCGGGTTCTCACCGGACCAGGCTCTCACATCACCAAGCACGAAGCGCCGTGAGGTATTCGGCGAGTCGCATGAAGGGTGCGCTGCAGCCTGCTAAGGGTGTTCGGCATCTTGTGTTTACTTCCTTGCGTACGGATGACAGCTACGAATCACTTAATTATATTTTTCTGGTGCTTTCACTTCCAGAGATAGTTCAAAGCAATGTGTAACTGCCTCGAGGATGCTTGACCATTTTAACACAACGTGGTGCGATTATCCCCTTTGCGGGGAGTGAGGGTTCTCGACCTCGCACAACATAATCTACTCGACCATCATTCATGGTTACCGCCAAAAAAAAAACCGAGGTAAAAAAAAAATCCCGGTAACCTGGTTGCTGAGCTCACGAAGTGATCGGCTTGTTTTACAACATCGCTGCCAAGCGACGAAAACCCAACCCGGATGGCAAACACCAGGGGGGGCGGCTTGTTTTACCACGTCGTTGCCAAGCGACGAAAACCCAACCCCGATGGCAATCACCGAGGGGACCACCATTATGGTTACCGCAAAAAAAGGGCGTTGGGTGGGGGGGCCTACTCGTGTTTTGCATGTCTCAGCGGGTAGACCATTGACCACGCGTCCTCGAGAGGAGCATTGTTCCCAATGGTCAAACATATACGCACGCCGTCAATTATTCTGGTATCAGCGGCACGACAGACGAAAACGGGCAACGATCACACCGAACGCACAGCACACCATTCCATACAGCAGTACCGCGACGCCATGCCATGCCACACCATACCGTACGGTATGGACCATACAGGCGGTACAAACACATCCCATTCCATGAAAACGTGCCACTTTTTCCACACTCACCGTCGCCGGCGCTCCACCGGCCTCACCCTCCGAACCATCGCCCTCCCGAGGTGGCGGCGACGCTGCTGCCGCACCGGAACCGGCCGCGCGGTGGCCGCGGGTGCCGTCGTCATTTCTTCCCCGCCGTCGTCCCCCTTCCGCGTGTGACCGCGGACCGCTCGGCCCTCCTTGCGGGCTCCTTCCAGGTGCTCCAGGTCTTTCTTGAGCATCGACTTTTCCTTGGCGGCCTCCCTGGAGAACATTTGGTGCGGAGGAGAGAAGGGACGCGGGGGGGGGGGGCGTACTCTTATGTTTGGCATGCCTTAGCGGTTAGACCATTGACCACACGTCCTCGAGAGGACGGAGCATTGTTCCCACAGGACCGATCACCGATGGCCAATCGTTCCTTCTTACTTTGCCAAAGGTGGCTCAAAAATGTCTTCCCTAGTCTGTCTATCCTAACGATATCCCTTCCCGCCTTTTCAAACCACTTCCTACTCCCCAGTACAGCTACCGTCCTCTCCTCTCTATTTCATGCCTCAAACATCTCCCTGTACGTCCCTTGTATTTTTCTCAGCTCAGTCATCTACACTTCCCTCTCCTCTTCGTACCACGGACATTCCGCGACTACATGAACACGGTCTTCGCATTCGAAGCCGCAATCACATTTGAACTTGTCGTGTTCGTCGACGTTCTCGAAGGCCTATGTCCCCGGTCCTGAATTTGACCTTAAGCTTTGTCCCTGCATCCATTGGTCCATGTAGGTACTCCTTGAACCCTATTCCTTCTTGCAACATTCCGTACACTTCTAGACCCTCCTTATCCTTGGTTTCTTTCCTTAGATTCTGTTTTTCTCTCTCGGCACAAGCAACAGATATCTTCTCCTTGAACCCCTGTAGACCCTCCGTTTCCAGCGTTTCATCTTCGTCGATGTCTAACCCCTTCCATACGTCCTCTACAACCTTGACCCATTCCGTAGGTTGTCTACCCCTCTTTTTGTTTGCCCAGTTCGCCTCCCATACTATTCTCGGCAACCTCTCCTCTCCCATCCCGCACATGCGATACTGCCATGTCAGCTTCCTTGCGTCTCTTCCCGACCGTAGGGATTGGATCCCCAATTCTGCCCTGACGGCTGCATTACTTGTGCGCTTGGAGCAACCTAGGATGATTTTCGCCGCTTTCATCTGCGCCGCCTCGAGTTCTTTCACTACCTTCTTATTTCCTTCCCATACTTCTCCGGCGTACTCTAGCGGCGGTACGATTACGCTCTTCAAAACCGTCAATTTGATGCGTGTATCGAGGTGCCGGTTTGCGAGTATTGGGTGCAGCTTCCCTGCTCGTGGTTTGCCCTTTTCCGCTACCTTGGACATGTGTGCATTCCACGAGCAGCCTTTTGCGATCTCTACTCCGAGGTATGTGTACTGGTCCACTACTGCAATCTCCTCGATCCCCCACTTCCATCTATGTTCTATTGGTTCCTTCCTGATCTCGTTGCATGCCATGACGGCACTCTTCTTAACGTTGGCAGACAATCTCCACATATGGGTAAACTTCTTCGCCGCGTCAATTTATAGTTGCAGTCCCTCAGGGGTGTCCGACATACCAACAAAATCCTCCGCAAACAGCATTCCTGACACCGAAGTTTCCGTGTCCCCTACTTTTACTCCCTTCCGGGTTGCCTCTACGACTTCCAACAAATCGTTGATGAACACCTGGAACAATGTTGGGGACAGCGTGCAACCTTGTGGGACCCCCTGCTCAACGTCGAAGAATTTAGGCAGTTCTCCGTCTAGCATGACCGCGCTTTTCGTACACTCTGTCATCTTCTTCAGCACTCTCCACATTTCCCCCTTGATCCCGTACTTGGACAATTGTTTCCACAGCCCATTTCTCCATACGGTATCGTATGCCTTTTTCACGTCCAGGAAGAAGAAGTCGTCGGCTTTCCCGCCGTTTTTCTACCTTGGATGATTCTCCCTACCGTGAATGCGTGGTCTACGCACCCCCTCTTCTGTCGGAAACCTGCCTGGCCCTCACTAATGCTACGTTCCTTCTCCAATACTCCCACTATCCTATCGTTCAGCAACTTACAAAACACTTTTCCTACTGTGTTCAACAGTGTGATACCCCTGTAGTTTCCTGGGTCAGTCTTGTCTCCTTTCTTAAACAAGTTCACAACCACTCCTTCCCTCCATCTACTTGGCGCATACTCGTTTTTCTACACCCAGTTGTACAGCAGTACCATCAGCTGGATCATCCCCTTCCCCCCAAACTTCATGAACTCGTTGACTATCCCACCCGCCCCTGCTGCTTTGTGGCACTGCAGCTTGTTCACACACGCCTCAACCTCGTCCTCAGTGAACTCCTTTTCGAGTTCAACGTTCCCAACGTCTGCCTTCGATGTCTCTTCTTCTTTCTGGGCCCATGCGTCCACCTCCTTCTTAAACACTTGGTCAAAAGCTTCATTCTCCGAAGGCACTCCAAGTCTCTTGTAGTGTCTCGCTAGAACTTCCCTTTTTCCCTTCCCACTGCTGACTAGTCCACCGTTCACACCTCGCAAAGTTGCTACCCCTGTATCCCCCCCTTGCGCGGTCTTTTTTACCATCCCACTAATCCCTTCCCACATCTGCTTGGCGTTCCCCTCCAGACCTCAGTTGGCCTTCTGCACCACTTCGTCCCAAATGCACTTTTTCTTCTTTTTCATTGGTCCCTTCACCTGTTTCCTCTTGGCCCTGTACTTTTCCCCAATTCTCCTCAGACCCCTCACTCAGGTACCGCTTGAAGACTTCTCTACGTCCCCCTATTTCTTCTTTCAGCTCGTCATCCCACCACTTAACCGATACCCCACATCGTACCACCTTCTTTCCCACTACTCTCTCTGCCGTTGTGTTCACTATGGACTCCCACCCTTCGATCACCCTGTCACCTGCTGCTTGTACGTCTACCTGTCCGTCTTCGACGCTTCTCAGCAGTTTCCTGAAGGGTTCTACACTACCAGCCAGTCCCTTCTGGAATTCATCCCGTGACCCCTCGTCTCCCAAACGCTCTACTTTCCACCGGAACACTTTCCTCTGTTTCTTACTCTCCGTCTTTCTAGATCGGTCGATGTTTGCCCATATGAGGAAGTGGTCGGTCGAACCTATATCTATACGCAGTCCTAACAAAAAAAAGTACCCTCTAATGTTCAAATAAAACTGAGGCTGAATACGCCGTCGGGGGATCGCCGCCCAGGCTGGGGCGGTGGGGGGGCGAAGGAACAGGCGCCAGGTGCCACGGGTTGCTTGTGTCGCACTATCTATCAACAGCGGCAGCATCAAGGACCGACACCAGCACCATAGCGAACGCAAACAGCATGCATCGCAACTGACAACAACAACAACAACAACAACAACAACAACAACAACAACAACAACAACAACCAAAGCAAAGGGCAGCAGCACCTGAAAACAGAAAGGATGGCGAACACAACCAACGCTGCAAACACCTACGAAAATTGGAGAATCGTATATGACGCACCGTATGGAAGCACACCTGAGCCCCCACTCCCCCCTCCGCCCCCTCTCTCGCACTCAACTCACACTCCACCACAACAAAAAAAGGCGAAACAGCCAAGGGGGGCTGGGGGAGAGGATCAAGCCGTCACCTGCACGCCCGCTCTAGCGCCTCCGTTTTGGCTACCAGCCTTTGCTGGGCCGCCCTCAGGCCCTCGATCTCGCCATCCTTCTCTCGAATGGAGTCGATCATGTACTTGGTCGGCTGCTCGACGCTCTCCAACAAACCCTCCGCCCTCACCGCTCGACTTTCCCAGGACGCCACCCTTCGTTGGTTATGTGCAGCGTCAAAATGGTGCATTTTTTGTTGGGGGAAGGGATTGAAAATTGGGGTTGCGGGGGGGGGGGGGGGGGGGGGGG